TTTAACAAATTGGGAGTTTAAATTGTTTTCTGGCTTTGACTTATAAGAGTCAACTTACTTGGTGACAAATTTATTATCAATTACTTCAAGTCTTTTGTTCAAAACATATGAAACACAAGGTAGAAATTATACTGCTTTTGCTTTAGCAGATAAAAGTTCTATGAGGTCTTCAAGTGGAATGTATGATTTGATGACTTGATTATATCATTATGTCATCTGTGTGGAGGATAACAAAATTATTTTATAAGACATTTTGGGGATCATAGGTTTTTGTTTATTTTTAAGTAAAATAGCATTGGTAAATGGTTGTAGATGCCCATCTCTCATCCCTTCATTGTGTCAAACACTTTCAGAGCTAGCAAAGTCTCATCAATATTCCCATGCAAATACCTTACAGAACAGTGAGAAAGCTAGGAACAGATGATCCCAAACTGTGAGAGTGACCCTTCATCACAGATAGTAAATCTAGGGATAATCTCTGAAGAAAGAAAGCATAAAGAATGAGGGGCCACAGTTCTTACCCAGTTGCTTCTCTGATCTTTAGCACGAACTTACAAAGTCCTTTGAGCTTTCTCTGTCACATTTGAGTAACAATGAAATGATTGTTTTCCTGTAAAATAGATGAAGATACCTGGGGACTGCATGTCAAACCTTCTCTTTTTTCAAACAAATTTCAATATTCATACTTATTTAATAGTTCAAGTTCTATTATTACATGATGGCTAGCATTGCCAGACTCATTTTAACATTATAAATAAATACATATGAAGTTTTCTTGCATCCCATCTCTGGTTCTACTTTGAATTCAGACTAAAATTTTCATGACTTTTTAGATATTTTGATTATTTGTGTATATACATATATGATAAACATTGGTTTTTAGAGTCTGTTTAAGGGATAAAGCAAAAGATCACCAACCTGTAATTCACCCTGCCAGAGAAACTAGGATACTAGGAAAAACCTAAGAGATTCATACAAGGTCCCTCACAAAAGGGGAAAGGAACAAGATCTCCTGAGCATATTGGGAGTGGGGGGTGGGGAGGCAGTGAGTGGAGAGGGAATTAGAGGAAAGAGAAGAGGAGGAGAGGAAAACATGTGGGACCAGGAAGATTGAGTTGGGGGATGAATAGAGAAGAGCAAAAAAAAAAAAGAGATACCATAATAGAGGGAGCCATTATAGGTTTGAAAAGAAAACTGACACTACAGAAATGTCCAGAAACCTACAAAGATAACCCTAAGTAACAATCTGAGCAACAGTGGAGAGGCTATCTTAAATGCCCTTCCCTGTTAATGAGATTATATGCCATCATATATGCTCTTATATGCCATCATAGAGCCCTCATCTAGTAGCTGATAGAAACAGAAGCAGATGCCCACAGCTAAACACTGAGCCAAAATCCTGGAAACCAGTTGTAGAGAGGGAGGAGTGATAAGAAAGGGGATCAAGACCAGGCTACAGAAACCCACAGAGACAGCTGACCTGAACAAGGGGGAGTTCATGAACCCCCAGACTAATAGCTGGGAAACCAGCATTGGACTGACTCAGACCCCCTGAACATGGGTCTTAGTTGGAAGGTCTGGGCAGTCTAAGGGACCTCTGACAGTGGAACCAGGATGTATCTCTGGTACACGAAAGGACTTTGGGAGCACATTCCCCATGGAGGGATCCTCCCTTAGTCTAGAGACAGGAGGGAAGGCATAGGAGGGAGGGAGGGAGAGGGAACCGGGATCCATTTGTAAAGTAAGAAAAAATAATAAATTTATATACAAAAAGCACATAAGAGTTTAAAAAACAGAGTCTGGCTAAGGAATATATGGTACATTCATCTTGCTCAAAGAATTTCAAATATAAAGTTGTGACTTCAGTCATTTTATTCCTACATTTAAGTCATTTGATCAAAATTATTAGGGTTCCATTTTGGAATAACAGTGGGGCAAGATGGAAGAATTCCATAGATTTGAAAATTCTTGTATGAGATGTGAGAGGTTACCATCTGGACACTAAATCCCAGCACAAGCACTAATTTCAAGTCTTGCCTCTAATCTTATGGTCATTAAAGTTTTATAAATACAGTTTGAGCAAAAATACATAGTTAAATTTATACATTTACTATTTGATTTGTAGCTAAACATACTTATACAGACATATAGGGAAATATATACAGACTGGTATGCTCACATTCAAATATGTAGTGCATCCATGGTAGTGTTCAGGTAGTATTTCTAGTGTTCCCATAGTGTTTCCCTTAAGTAAGTAGGAGAAGGGTGCAGCACTTCTGAGTACAGAGGCTCAGTGCTGTTTACCATGACTCAATAAATGCTGTTCTTTCTCCTTGAGGTACTTTTCTCCTTGAGATATTTCTCGAGAGATGCTTAATTACATTTTTAATATACTTGGAGGGCTGGGGAAATACCTCCATGAAGTGCTTGTAGCAGAAGCCTGAAGACCAGAGTTTGGAACCCTAGGACCCCAAGTAGGCATAATGGCCCTCCTATATTCTCAGCAAGCAGGAGGCAGAGACAGGATCCCCAGGGAAAGCTGGCTACCCATGTCAACCAAAACAGCAAACTCTGGGTTCAGTGGGAAACCCTGCCTCAATACACAAGGTGAAGTGTAATCAAGAAGACACCCACCATCAACCTCAGGCCTCCACAAGCATGTGCACACATGCACACCACACAAACATGTACATATGCAAATGAATAAAATCTATATTTCCTCTATCTAGTCCATACTCTCCTTGAAGGCAAGTGTAATTTTGATTTTTGTTTGCTTGTTTATTTTTTCTCTCATACAATCCATTTCAACAGTAGCTTCCCCTCTGTCTGCTTCTTTCATCCCTCCTCCCACCTCCCCTCCCTGTTCCCCTGAGAAAAGAGTAGGCCTTCCATGGACATCAGCTGAACACAGCACAACACAATATTATAAGATCAGGCACAAACCCCCAAATGAAGGCTGGGCAAAGAAACTCAGGAGGTTGAAAAGGGTTCCAAGAGCAGACAAAAGAACCTGAGACACCTCCAGTCATACTGTCAGGAGTGCCCAAAAACTGCAAGAAAACAAGCATAACATTTATGCAGAGGACCTAGAACAGACCCACGCAGGCTCCTCCAATGTTGCTTCAATCTCTGTGAACTCCCATAAGCCCACTTAGTTGGTTCTGCCAGCCATGTTCTCAATGTATCTTTGATTGCTCTGGGTCCGAAGGACCCTCCTCCTCTTCAACACGGTTCCCCGAGCTCCAGAGGGAGAGATCTGGTGGACTCCTCCAACCTGAGCTTGTTCTCATTCTAATGTTTGGCTGTGGATCTCTGTATCCACTCTGAACAGCTGCCAGAGGCAATCTCTCTAGTGATGACTGGACTTGGCACTGGTCTATGAATATAGCATATTGCTGTTATGTATTATTCCATTGATTTTTTTTCTGCCAGTGGTGTTCAGTTCTAGCCTAGGTGTCTGGGATATCCAGTCTCTGGTTCCTGGTCATCTAGGCAGTGTCAGGAATGGGATTCTTTTCATGACATGTGCCTCAAATTAGAGCAGTCACTGGTTGGCCAGTCCCCACAAGTTCTATGCCACCATTGCCCCAACACATCTGGGAGGTATAAGTAGGGTATTGTGACTGGGTTGCTGTCCCAGTCCCACCCCTGGAAGCCTTGAATGGTTACAAAAGATAGATAGTTCAGGATCCAGATCCTCATTACCAGGAGCTCTAGCTAGGGGCACCATCATAGATTCCAAGGAGTTTCCACTGTTCTAGGTTTTCATATTGCCCCCCAAAATACCCTCCAGTTCCAGTCATCTCTCCCCATATTATCTCCCTCCATCCCCCCTACCTGACCTGATCCCTCCTGTTCCCTTCCTTGCCTGCCCCTAGTCCTCCTGCAAGATCTATTGTACTTTCCCTTCACAGGGAAATCCATGCACCATGCCTCCAAGAGCCCTCCTTGTTACTGAGCCTCAGTGAGTCTTTGGATTGTAGCATGATTTTCCTTTACTTAACAGCTAATGTCCACTTATAAGTGAGTACATACCATGTTTGCATTTCTGGATCATTGAGCTTAAGCAAGGTCTTTTTTTGTGTGTTTTTGTTTGTTTTTTTTTTATTTAAATTTGAAACAAGCTTGTTTTACATGTGAATCCTAGGTTCCTCTCCCTCCCCTCCTCCCCTACCATCCAAAGCCCCATCCCATCCCCTTTCTGCTCCCCAGGGAGGGAGAGGCCTGAAATGGGGAGTCTTCAAAATCTGTTATGTCATTTGGAGCATTACCTAGGCCCTCCCCTATGTCTCTAGGCTGAGAGAGTATCCCTCTATGTGAAAAGGCTCCCTCTATTGTGGTATCTCTTTTCTTGCTCTCCTCTATTCTTTCCCTGACTCAATCTTCCTGTTCCCTCATGTCCTCTTCTCCCATCCTCTTCTCCCTTTCTCTCCTAACTCCCTCTCCCCTCCCCCCATGTTCCCAATTTGCTTGGGAGATTTTGTCCCTTTCCCCTTCTCCGGAGGACCATGTATGTCTCTCTTAGGGTGCAAGGGTAGTTTAATTAGGTCTTAAGAGGAAAAAAAAAAAAGAGTTGGGACAGAGAAGCCTATTTCAGGGAACTACTACATGAGTTAATATTAAGGTTTCTATTTAAGTCTTGAAGTTCTTTAAATATATACAGATTATTCAACATAGTCAAGCAGTATCATGTGTTTTCTTAGTTCACTGGATATGAGTCAGCTTAACACAATGGTTCCCAGTGTGTACTCCTAGACTCAGCAGGTCTGCAACTCCTGGAAACTTAGAGAGGAGAACTCTTGGACCTCTACCCAGATGTACTATGTCAGGAACTCTGGGGTCAGGGCCCAGCTATCTTGTAGCAGACCTTCCTGGGTATTCATTACATGGTCAAGTTCAAAAACCACCAGCCTCAACTAACAGGAGTTCATGGAATAGTTGAAAGTTCATGGGCTTTGAGAATGGACCTGCATCTGAATCTCTGCTCTCCTACTTCATAGGTCTACAGCTGCCAGTCTTCTCATAATATCTATGAGTTGTGATGTTTCAGATAATGCTGCCATCCACTTCTGTGGTGAGGGTGGATTTCTGTAATTTAAGTGTAATTTAAGTGTAATTAAGCAGCTAGTGTGTTACAGGTTTAGGACAAATGGTTAAGACTTAACTCTAAGTTACTGCTTTGAGTCTGGGAACTTTTGTAGGTACTTTTCCTCCTTGAATAAGCTTGATTAGTTATTAATTACAGTATGTTCATGCTTTTTATTTAGAGACAAATGTTCCAGAAATTGTTGATGTCTATGGTCTGAATGGTCAAATACAACACAAAGTGGCCTTTCTGAGAGCTCATGTGCCAAAAGATGTAAAGCAGATACTCACTGGCCATTCCATAGGCTGCTATATTTCTCTTCGGCTCATGAAGCATGTTCCTGAGCTGCCTGTGAGTATACCTTAGAAGATGACGATGGGTACCTGATTGTGCACTTGCAGAAACCCTCCTGTTTCCTTTGCTGTTTTGTAGGCAGAGGGAGGAGTGCAGGTGGCTGCCTTTTTCTTTGTGTCTTTATTTCCAAAGACCTGTGCCTAAGAAATTCCGTAATGTTCCAGTGAATAACAGTGGGAGAGATAGAGATTTTTCCAAATGCATGACTTGGGATCTAGGGTTCTCTGGCACTCTAGAGTTATTTTTGACTTGCTCTCACTTATAAAACAATATTTAAGAACAGTTACTGACAGTGGCATGGAACAGACTCTGTCTTTATTGAGAGAATGTTTTGACGGTATCAGTGGACTGGAGAGATGGCTCAGGGGTTAAGAGCACTGACTGCTCTTCTAGAGGAGCTAAGTGTGAGTCCCATCACCCAACGTGGTTCTTGCCCTCCTGTAAGTACAGTTAGGGATCCTATGCCCTGGTAGGCCTCCGCAGGCCCTGCATGCAGATGGTGCACTAATAGACTGCAGACAAACACCCAGAAAACAAAGTCAAAATGCATAACTCTCCCAAAAAAAAAGTGAAATAAGTAAATTTTCCTGTCTCTTTTAAGAAGCAAAAGAATGTGTCCTTGTCATCATCATTGAGAGGTAAGTGCAACTTTGTGGAACATGCTCAGTGATCATAGGTTTCCATTCTTGTATGGTGGGTAGTTGGCTGGTCCTTCTGAGACACAGATGCATCAATTTCTTCACAAATACTTTCTGTTTGTCTGCTTTATGTTTGTTGTTACGGTGTTGGGGATGGATTCAGGACCTAGTGCATGATAGACCAGCACTATTCCACTGAGCTGGACCCACAGCCTCATAAACTAGACACATAGTGAGGCGTTGAAGTCACAGAGTCCAACTTAAAGTGACCACAAAAGGGAGCAAACTCTTTAAGAGCCTTAAAACTGACCTATGGAGTGGGTAGGATTTACAAGATAATTTATGTCTTCATTTGGTACACATGTGTACAAAACCACTTTTGTGCATCTCAAGGACACACCAGGGGACAACACATGTTTCTGAGCTAAGGGCCTGGAGTCTCATGGATGAGACAGCTAAACAAGAGGGAGCACTATCCCTTCACAGCAGCCCTGTCCATGAATTCGTTCTCTGCATGTGAGAAAATATCTCCAGCAGGGTCTTGGATCCCACTAGGAATTTGACTCCTTTCCTGCCAGCTTGCTACATTCAGTGCTCAAACCAGCACTTGGAAAGAGTAAAACTATAGTCTCCCTGTTTTTAATACTAAATTGATTTTAATTTTCTCCTCTTGGAAATAAGAAAATACATTTTTATGTCTAAGTTTGAACTCAATAAATAGAAGATTATACTCTATTCATTGAATTCCTATTCTACTCAGCTGTGGTTTTATCCTCCTAGATAAGGCATTTAGTTTAGAACACAGCTTTCCCTTTGATGCGGGCCTTGGTGTGACTGACAACCTCTTTCCTGTCCTTGAGATTCCTCTCACAATATATGTGGCTGCCATCTTTCTAGTGCACAGCCTACAAGTGACACAGTTTCTGCACACTCTGGCTCTCACTGGTCACTTAGACTCAAATATGTTTTGTCACTTTGTTTGCTTGTTTGTTTGTGTGAACTTGGACAAGTCATTGAGTCTCTGGCCTCAACAAATTGGAAATAATAATGTATTCTTCAAGGATGTTGTGAGGAATTATGCATAATATTAAGAGTGTTGCCTGGTATTCTAAAGTTCTAAGTACGTGTTACCTATTATTGTTGTTGTGGAAATAACACTACTGCTATGTATCAAATTCCCCAGACTAGTAATGTAAAACAGTATGTATTTAGCATCTCAGTTTCTGGGCAGAAATCTGATGGCTTAACTAGGTCACAGACTGCAGAGCTTTCACTAGGTAGCAATCTTGTTTCTTCCCAGGATTGCAGTCTCCTGTGAACACTTGAATTAGGATGGAGAGATGGGAAAGGATGGAAAGAGCTGGAGGGGGAGTCAGAACCAGGAGCTTAACACAATGCATGTAAAGATAATGGTTAGAGTTTCAGAGAGCTGTGAAACTGTATTTCCTCTTCTTTATGGGGCTGGAGAGATGGCTCAGTGAATAAAGTGCCTGCTCCACAGGCATGAAGACCTTAGTTTGGATCTTCTATACCTACATAAAGCCCCATGTAAACCCTAGATCTATGGGAGCAGAGAAGGTAGATTGCTGGAGCTTGCTATCCAGCCAGCTTCAACAAATCATTGAGCTCCAGACTCAATGACAGTGTCTCAGAACCTAAGATGGAACACAGTTGAGAAAGACACCAACATCAAGTTTTCCCTCAACATGTACTTGCATACACATGCACACACATACATGCCCATATATACACATACTTATGCTGCATACATGCAGTAGAAGAGACACACATGCTAGAGAATAATATGTGTGACTGTACATACAAGGCACCTTTGGGGAGGAAAAGGAGTTGTCTCTGCAGTTTTGTGGTTTCATTATTCAAGGGTTTTATCTGAGGTTAGAGAGATTGTTCAGCAGTTAAGAACGCTTGTAGTTCTTGCAGAGAATTTGGGTTCAATTCCCAGAACCCACATGTTAACTCCCACTACCTGTAACTCTAGATCCAGGGGACGTGATTCCTTCTGACCTTTGCAGGCACCAAGCATGCACATGGTATACATACAAACAAATAGGCAAGCAAACACTCACATAAATAAATAGATCTAAAAGAAAAAAAATTATCTGTTTTCAATTATCTGCATTGTTGAAATTCCCCACCACTCACTACATCCTGCCTCCCAACTATTAAACAATTAAACACCTGGGCCTGTTAATCTGGTGGTGTGATCCATGCTGACTTGTTGAAATTTCACTGTCTCTAAGACAGCACAAAGCCTGCATGCCTGAAGTTCACATGACACGCTCCATTTGAGATGCACTTGACAATCAAGTGAATTTGTGAAAGCCAGAGTGTTGCAATCCTAATCATTTTGCCAAAAAATAAGTGGGCTGTTATGTTTTATAACATATGAAGTGTGATAATAAGAAACTTGTGTTTCCATCTCCTCTGTTATTTTTACTGGAATTTTTTACTCCATTAAGAGTGTGAGGACACATTTGCTGTGGACTAACTGGTTTGTTTGATTTGCTTTGATTCAGATCTCTGCAATATTTTTGTTTAATTATTGACAACTTTGTTTTTAAATAATTTGAAGAGACTTACTGCATAATGCCAGATAATATGGCCTGACCTGTAGTTTCACACAGTGCAAAATAATTGCCACTTTTGAAATCTGGAATTATTTTTTTATAATTGAGTTTGAGGTATAGAAATACAGAAATTGAAGTTAATCAGATATTTTGAAAGTAGTATACAAAATAGCAATTTTTTTTCTTTAAAAAAGTTAATGGAAGACTGATAAATAGTGGTTTCCCTGACATGTCATGATAAACACAATTGTTTTTAGATCCATAAGATCTTAAGAGCTAAGATGAGCTTAATTTTTAACAGTCATCTTCATTTTATATGTGAGAAGTAAGAGACAGGGGACTGGTCAGGACTCAGCCTCATCTGGAGCTAAATCTTCAAGTTGGTTGTGTTTATAGAGAGGGTCCTTCAGTCTTTGGGTGATGGACTATGGTGTGGGTCTACAGTGTGCATGACTACATTAATGGTAGCTAAAGGGGTGGAGGCCTGCAGGTGCGCTAGCAGCTATAGGTAGCAATTTTTCTGTATTACATACCCTGCTTTCTCAGCATCCGCCTCTACATGTTATCAAGGTGCCTTCCCATAAAGTCAAGATTAGGATCTGACCAGTCTGTAGATGGAATTGTGAGGTGATTTCAAGTAATTTCATATTTGGTAATACCATCCTCTGGGATGTAGCAGAAATTTCACAAATTTGTCTTGTGATATTTGCATTCCCTGGGGAAAGTGCATGGTAGCTGACATCTGGCTTTTTCTGAACAGCATAAGTCTCTTCTTTTAAACCACATAGCTTCAACTCCGTGATGTACAGCATGCTTGGGCTGACCCTGTCCAAGTCAGGCAGGCAGTGAGAACCACATGGAGCTGTGTTGTGTTCTGTTCAGTAGTTAGGCTAACATAGGGAGGGAAGAGAAGATGAGCTGTGTGTTTTAGCAGCTGTTTCCAGAACCCTGTCCCCAGACTACTGATCACAAATAAAAGATGAAAGAACTGTGTTAAAGGTAAAACCTTCCGCCATTCCAGAAGATCAAAACCAGCTTCATAAGTTGGAGTTTCTGAACTGAGCTCTTCTCCATAGCAGGGATATTTGAACAGGATTCTAGAAGTATTCCTTCCTCGAGAAAGGAAGTAGGAGACAATGATTTTAGACATTCTGACAGGAGTTAAGATGATATCTCAGAGTTGTTTTGATTTACATTCCCTGATGGCTAAGGATGTTGAGCACTTTCTTAAGTGTCTTTCAGCCATTTTGGATTCCTCTATTGAAAATTCTCTATTTAGTTCTGTACTCTACTTTTTAATAGGGTTATTTGATGTTTTGGTAACTAGTATATTTTGGAGATCAGCCCTCTGTCATATTTTGGGTTTGGTGAATATATTTTCCCATTCTGTGGGCTGTGGTTTTATCTTGTTGACTGTGTCCTTTGCCTTACAGAAGCTTTTCAATCTCAGGAGGTCCCATTTATTAATTGTCAACACCAAAGACAGTTTATGCTGGAGAGGATGTGCAGAAAGGGGTACACTCCTCCACTGCTGGTGGGAGGGCAACTCATACAGCCACTTTGGAAATCTGGTTCCTCGGGAAAATGGGACTCAGTCTACCTCAAGATCCAGCAATTCCACTCTTAGGCATATACCCAAAAGATGAACATTCATACAACAAGAACATCTGTTCAACTATGTTCATAGCAGCATTATTTGTAATAGCCATAACTTGGAAACAACCAAAATGCCCCTCAACTGAAGAATGGATGGAGAAAATGTGGTACATTT